GTCTCACCGAGCTGCTAAATCATGCAACTCTCACTGGGAAAGAAGCAGATGCTGGTCTTGCTCATCTACAGTGCAGTCAACAGTTCTTTATCATGAGAGGGTTTTCTGCTTTGTGCTCGCCCACGACCTCTGTGATGCAATCATATGCAATCAGTTGAAAGGTTCATGCAATTTATACGACAGGCACATCGGTACGACATAGCCCGAGAGAGAGAGAGAGAGCACGAACAATTCCCTCCACCTGCAAGCAGCAAAAGTTCAAGGAACAGATACATCGTTGGACGGTGATTGATCGATTCAGCCGTTTCAATCCGGATGTTCAAGCTTCAAACAGCTGAAACCTGTTACTAGTAACAAGGGCACCGCTAACAAGGATTGATCCCCACATGGGTGCAGTTGCAGGGGGTGCGGAGGGTACTACGAAAAAAGTTAGGATTTGCCAACAAACAGCAGACAATTTGCATACTAGCGTGTTTAAAGTTTAAACCAAGATGTGGAAGTTGAAAGACCGTGTTTGATATGTTTGTTTGAAGCTCAAAGCTTTCACTGCGGGAATTCCTACAAAGCGGCTTTGGGGAAAGAGATAGTTTTGCAGCAGGCTGATTGGTGTTCGCATGTATTTTCGCATGCCACTCTGCCACAGTCAACTATCCTCAGCAAATAATTGAGCTGCAGCCAAGTGCTTCAATGGTCGCTGATTCACAGGAGATCATTGAAGTATATTATACTTACTGGGACCTTTCATCTACTCTCCCATGTGGGCACTGGTAGGTCCACACAGAGCGCCGACCGAGGACTGAGCGGACAAGCGGGCCGAGTCGTGCCCGTTTGGGGCTGACGCCCAGCCGTGCCAAGCAAGGCACGTCACGTCAGAGGTGCCTGGATTTGTCACGTCAGGGGGGAGGCCGGGGAGGTGTACGAAGATGTTCCTTTAGTGGGGGTGCTTTGTTAGTGTGCATATGTGTGCATATTGCTTTTGGAGGTTCAGCTGCAGCTTGGGGAACTCAGCAAAACACGTCTATATAATATTCTTCTCAACTTTGCCAACCGATGCAGTCCGCACAGGTCAAGAGGCCAATTGTAGAGGAAATGCGGTCCCAGTTACTTGGGAAGTCCCCCTCCCTCCTCTTAAGAGAATGGACCTTGACAAGCCGCAAGGCTCCCAGGTAAGTTGTTGGAACGAGTCTCACATCCCGGAATTGTTACGTTTTCGGACAAGGAGCGAGGACGCTACTAGGGGCGCTCCTGGCCTTGACACTAGGAACAAAGGGCATCGCTACTAGGAGCAAGGACGCTACTAGTATACTAGTAGCTGTTTGCTACTATTTCCATTTTTGAAGTTGCAAAGTGAAGAGTTGGCCTTCCTCGAAAAGAACCAGCCAAACCAACAACCCTTTTCGGGATCATGTGTTGAGCATAAGCCAGAAATTGCACAGTGCTCCATGACTGCCGTGCCCCAAAAAAGCTCCACAGAGAGATGCTGTGCTGACATGCACGTAACGGGTCCCGGGAGCCAAGGCGTAACGATGCAACGAGATGCGGGGTACCACATCAACATCAGCGCGCCCGCTGAGTGAAAATAGCTCGCGGACGCTGTACAGTCAGGGCCTTACCTCGAGGCATGTGATGGAGAGAACTGTGAGTAGAGAACTGATAATGGTTTCAAAACATCAAGTGAATCCACACTGGGCTCCTTCCTGTCAAGGGCACATGACCGTGAGGCCCGCAAGCAATCTGGCTTTAGACCCCTGGTTGGAGAAGTGAAGAGTCTTCTCTTTGAGCTTTGCCACATCACAACCCCCAAAGATAGTATGTTCGCGAGCAAGATCGACCAAGCAAAGGATGCCATGTGGAACTTTTGCCTCATAAATGCCTTACTCACTCACACAAACGATCATTTGGGACTGTTGGATCACAGTGCCTCAGAGTGTACCCCCTGCGCATTATTGTGCGGCTGCTGCTGAAAGCACAGCCTGCGAAGGACTCTTTTTTTCTCACCTTTGAAGTTATGGCTATCCAGGCGGTCCAGGCTATTTCAATAGAGCGGTGGTTTGCCCACGAAGGGTCATGCTGCCTTCCATCATCAGAGTGTAGACTGCGTCGGAGTTTATTGTCAGGGTGGTAAGATTGAGGGTCAGAGGATGGCCTGCACGGGAGCCAGCATTGTTGCCAGATTGCGGGGTGCAGTGGCTTGTCATTTTGTCATATATTATGTTGCAACAATGACGCATAGAAAGAGGCAAAGGTGGAGACAGGAGGCAGGTGAACCCATGAAGAGTTCTCGTCCAACGATCCTGTAGCCAGGTCAGGGATGTAAGATAGTGCTCTCAAATCAATGCTGCACCTTCAAGAGCAGAGCTGCGCACGAGCAGACTCATTATATAGACCACGGACGACGGACGAGGTCCATTTTGACTTCCGCTTTGGAAAGACTCCAAGCTGCACATTGATCAAAGGGTGTTGCTCGAGCTGTCTTTAAACCCTGGACCGCCCAATGATTGTGTGCGTGCACAACGGCTTCGAGCGAGGGTCTCACACCTTCCGGGGTTTCCGGAGGTTTCAATTTTTTCTGGACTTCGCGGACATCTCCGTTGGCCAGGCCGGGCCACACACGTTAATTGCCAAACGCCTGGCACTGGGCATCCTTGCTACTAACTATAGAGTCAGCACAGTTGGCTTCATTGACATACATAGGAGAAACCAATTTATGTAATTCTAGGGAGGGACGTTGTTGTGTTTGTTGATGTTTTTGTTTACCGGACCATTTTCCAATCAAGCTCAAGTCGACACCCTAGCATTGCTAGGGGTGAAGTCCAGCCAAGTCATTTGTCTCAGATCTGCTCAGGTGGTTGGAGGGTGCACACCAGCAGAGCCACTCCCCCAACATTTGCTGAGAAGATGCTGGTTGGTTGGAAGGATCCATAAGTTATCCTACAGGAACTTCAAGGCGGATTTCCCCACGTCCACGTCCGGTTGGCTCATCCAAACATTCCACCTTTTTGCCTCCAAGCTGTGCAGATTCTTTGATACCCCACAAGGCGCATGCTCAAAGAGCATGACCCGCGCGAAGCCAGGAGTTGAAGCACCAGCTGTCCCTGAACCCAAAGAACCTTCCAGAATGTGCACATGCGTAGTGACATGTTGCATTTTTGTCCAGCATGTTTGTCTCGATGTAAGCTACAGGAGGTTCATATGGGAAGTGTTTTCCTCGCTGAAGATAACTTTGCCCATGGCTCAGGGAGATATATCATCGAAACCCAATGGTAGAAGGAAAGCTAGCAGCTAGACTCAATTCATCTAAAACCTGTGGCTCCAGCGTCGCACCTCTTGAGCCACATCCACATCAAGGAGGCACAAGCTGGCTATGTGTTTGGCACACGCTCAATTTGCTTGAGTGATACCACAGCTTACCCCACCAGCAGCGTCACCTCTCACACATTTCACTATTGGCACGTGGTATGGAGGATAGAGAGATTCTCTCTTGGCTTTGGCGCTTGAATCGGGCATGGGAAATGACATGGGAGTCTGACTGGCCGCTTGCTTCAGGGAGCAAGACAAGAATCAATCCAGGAAGAGGTAGCTGTAGATGAGTTGCGGCCCACACGATGGGAAACTACGCGGGGATTGCATGGGACAAGTAGAAGACCAGCACGTTGGCCTAGGTACAAACAACCAACTGTTTACGCTTTTTAGTTGTGGTAGTTGCAACAACATGAGTGGATCGGGCAGCCTTGATTGCCTCCCGGCTCTAGGTGGTCACGGTCACTGTATCAGATGGAGGAGCCACCCTTTCAGAGTTTATATACTCATGCACTTCCAGACCCCATCCAGCTACCGCACCGTGTTTTGCTGCAGTTGCGTGTCCGCATGGAACCAATTATGAGGCCTTTGACAATGAGAACCCTCAAACCGGCGCATGGTTGGAAGATCGCTTGAACCAACTGGAACCTGCATAGGCCGACACCATTGCATGCGCTCGGCCTGTTTTCAGCTCCGGTTACTGCAGTCAGCAACTCCAAACTTTGCAACTGTGATGGAAAAAGGCCGCCGCCAATCAGCTTGGTTGCAACAACCACCTGAGTTTGCGCAAAACCAAGGCGAGAATACTGGCGAGAATGTATCATCTAGGGGAGGAGTTGCACTTGGCAGAATTGGATCAAGTAGGGCATGGCATGTCCGCACAATTGGTTTTTGAGGATTTTCCGGGTGGCAGTGGCAGGTGTTTTCCGTCGGGCCTTTTGGGCAACCAGCGCGACATAGCGCGACACTTTGTTCACAGCATTCGAAGACGATCACACCCTACCACGGGTCATTCGGGCTTGACTCGAACGCCGCGAACTTGAAGAAGTCCGAGCACGTGAGGGAAAACACACCTCGCAGGACGTTGGGCCAACCAAATTTAAAAGGCAACTGGCTGAGCTGACCCGAGACTTCAACAAACACGCGTTTTCTGGAAGAAAGAATCGATGCAAACGCCTCCCTTGCTTCGTATCGTAAAGTCATCCACAGATTGGGGACCTCAATGATTCTGAATAGATTCACCGGAATGTGTATATAATGATTATATAGTATTATATATGTATTTATATAAATGGTTGTGTGTGATTGCCCTATGTACGGGAGAAAGCACTGCAGGCATGCTAAGGCAGCTGGATGCTGTGATGTACCGTTTGACTTTCTCGCGTTCTCCATACTGCAGTGCAGACGGTATAGTAGAGAAACGGGGAAACCTTTCCAGGATCCTAACTCTTTTGCATTGGTGCCACCATGCAGAGGCCATTTGGCTTGAGGCCAGGTAGAGTGACCTGTCAACGAATAGTGGAAGATTGACAAGAAAACCTGGAGTTGATCTACCAGCTCCAGCTCTTGCTTGATTGTCGGTGCATGTTGTGTTTTCCTAGGATGTGCTCAGATGAATCGTGGCGTGTATAGTAGGGAAGAAACCAGCAGCTACATTAACTATACATCAGAGCACGGCTCCATGCACTTTTAGGATGTTTCCGGTGAGAAGCACCGTGTTTTCTGTTTTCGAACAACAAGCCCACCTGCGTGACTGAGCCAGCTGATTTCCAAGTGCAGCTTGGCGAGAAGAGTGTGACAGCCCCACAGGAAGTGCATGTTTTGGGTGAGCCAACCACATTCGAGGTTAGTGTCCACTACGGGCCAACACTACTGGCCAGATGCAGGTGTCGCCTCCAGCCTTCAGCATCTCGCGGGTTGCATTTGTGTTGCCTTTCAGAAAGAGCATGAAGACCCTTGAGGACATTGGGTCGCATGAAGGTATTATTTCTCAACCTGCCCCTTGCCATGAGTGACCATGGGCTCGTATCACCTTCGAACCAACTGCCACGCGTCAAGACACGCCTACACAGAATCAACTACCATTCTTCAAAACGCACCTACTCAATCATACACACACCATGGCCATCAACTACAGTAGATTCAACCATCTAGGTAGAGTGCTGAAAGGCCAAACGTTAAGGAATTGTATAACGTGTGCCGATGTTAAACCGACATATTATATTTGGGAGTTATCCAAAAGGTCCTTGTAAGGGTTTTTAATGTCGAGAGCCTTGGATGACATGATCGTGGGTCTCGCGAAAGTTTTTTTTCGAGTTCGCGAATGTTAATGTTTTTTTCGCGAAAGATTCGCGAAAGTATGTTTTTTCAGCAGCTTCAACTTTGGAATCCGTGTGAAGCTTCCTTCCTGTTTCATGTAGTCCACCCTATGTTATGTATGCCGTAAAAACCTCCAAAGCACAGGATTATTTCGCGAAAGTCTGGCGAAGGTTTCGGCGAATGAATCGGCTCCAGAGGAACCCCGTAGCCCATAGCAACCCCACAAACTTCATCATCCAACGTCCTTGTGCAAATGCTTTCTCTAACAACATGTGCCAACGAAATTCTGCTCCAACACCACTTTCCTGTCTGTAGCATCCTCCTGCTGAACCAAAAACACTCCGTGCACTTGTATTTAGAAATCGAGTCCCTACCAGGTTAAATGGTTTCATGACATGGTGAACCCCCGCGAAAGAAAAACACAGGGTTCGCGAAAGTTTCGCAAATGTTAATGTTTTTTTCGCGAAGAATGGCCGTTTCAATAAACAATAATATTGGACAACCACCATTTGCATCCCTGTATTCTGTTTGCACATGATTTCCCGACACTTTGACCCACCCCGACATGCACATCTTGGAGTTCCCGAGTTTGGGTAGTATTGAGAGCTGAGGATGAGACGTGGCTTGCTGGAGGTTGGCACCGCGGTCTGGGTGGAGGGGCGAGCTGTCGCTTGTACACTTGAAATTTGGGTCGCTTGTGCACTTGAATTTATGGTCGCTTGTACACTTGACATTTGAGCACTGTCCGAACATGTCGTCACCAAACGCTTTAGGTTGGTCGGTCTTACACTGAGCATACATTGAAAAACCGATGAGGTAAACCCAAGACCGAGGTCTTCGATTGAGCATACATTGAAAACCGATGAGGGAAACCCAAGACCGATGCCTCTGTATCATACATCGGATAAGTACTACTACTACTACTACTACTACCACTACCTTTATATACTACTACTACTACTACCACTACTACTACTACTCCTGCTACTACTACTACTACTACTACTAGTACCACCACCACTACTACTACTACTGCTACTACTACTACTACTACCAATAGTACTGCCACCCCAACCCACTCATTATAGTTTGCGCGCGCAAGTGAGTTTGTATGGCAGAAGTATGCTTTGAAAGGCAATCAAAACGTGAGTGCGTGCGTGTGTGTGTGTGAAGATGTTGACCTTGTCCAACTTGGCAACCTTTTCAGCAGTTCAGAGTCCCTTTGTATGGTTGGCAACTGCAACCCCCCCACCCCACCCCCCACCCCCCACCCCCCACCCCAACCCATTCACTAGTTCATTGTGGAGTAGGCACCACCCGTTGCTAGGAAGCAGGTAAGTGCGCAAGTGACCTAAATTTTTGATGCCAAGTGCGCAAGTGACCCAAAGTGCGCAAGTGACCGAAATTCCCAGTGCGCAAGTGACTGCCCGGCCCTGGAGGGAAGGAAAAAACATCCACAAAGTGGGCAAGGTCGCCAGCCGTGTAAGTGATGGACTTTGCCTAGAGATCCGAAGTCTGGTGGTAGCTAAGCCTTGATTGATCAGGGCTTGTAGAAAGACAATTGAACAATTTGACTAGAAGACCTAGGTTGCCTTCTAGTCATGGCTGATGTGGGTTGGAACGGCTTAGCTTTTGGGTTCGTAGTTCCTAGGATTGAAGTATCAAGCTTTGGGCGGCGGAAATCAGATAGGTACTTCGGACTTCGAGTACTTTCCTCTAGGTTGGGGCAGTGCCTGGTTCTGATGCTTTCTTTTGGATTGCATTCCTTCTCCCAGTGTGCTTCACTCGCATTTCATGACGGAAACTGACAAAGACGGGCAGCCTTGTCCTCGCAACCCGCAAAGAGGTTGAGGTTGGGTTCTATTTCCTTTGAGGTCCATGACGTTCCGTCGCAGGTTCTCCAGATCTTTCAAAACACTCCGCAGATAGAGCATCACGACTTCCTATTTGCCCAGGAGCCAGAACTTTTGGGCCTCTTTTGGCCCTCTTCATCCAGGGTAGAGATGCCTCAAAACAATTGCATGTAGGAGCTCCAGGGATTTTGAGCGGCCAAGTGAGAAACAGCATTGCGACCAAACTACAGTACTACCAAAGTAGCAGTGAATGCAGCGGCAGCGAAGAAGGTTGTGTTCCAATATGCCATACATATACCATACTACTATACTGTATAAGGAATGTACTAAGATTGTATATATGATATATGTTTTTAGTATAGGTTTTGGAGGTTGAGACCTTCCGTGGCGCAGAAACATAATGCACTTCCCTGGAAACTGGAGAAATTCGAGTAGATAGCTGGTTCTGAAGTGCCCTCCACACCTTTCTTGAAGTTCAAAGAGGTTGGATTCGATGCTCACCAGCGGATTTCCTTTCAGGACCTACGTATCAAAAAAGCTTCCGCCCGGGACCCTTGCAGCTCCAGTGCATCACTGGTAGAGATCAATCCATGCTAGAGGGGGATGTTTGGACAGGAGAAACATGGATAAGGTGACATTGAGGACTGGTGAGGTTCCCACCCCTGGGCCCCTGGGCTGAGGCCACGTGCTTCGAGTCGGCCAAAGAGCTGGAAGAAGAGCTCAATGCACAAGCGGACTGATCAGTTTTGGGGGTCCCAGGTCAGTGTGAGGCAGTGGTCTCCTACTTTCGTTTGTGCTATATGAGGCTAGCTTGGGAGAGGGCGGCGCGATGAGTGTGGACGGTCACTTAATAGATAGATTGCACACTCGCGGTGCTTCCAGTATTTTAGGTTACTTTGGTGCTGCAGGAGGCTGCCAGCCTACAGCGTTCCACTGCCCTCCTAATGAGTCCCCATGCAGGACAGTGCCAGTCGATTGGCCGCTGCCAATGATGAGGCAAGGTGTTGGGATAAACAATGGGGACTCCAGTATGGGAGCAAACCCTGTGCTGGTCAACAGGCATGACATTGGTGCCAACACTATATATCGCAAAACATGTTCATCGAGCCACCCAGGTGATATGAGATGGATGAGGTGGCGCGAAACACATGTAGAACGAGAATGGCCATGTGCCCCAAACAAATTGTGAGCATCGCAGTCGGGTGGAGCTTGATTCATATTCTTTTGTGAGGCATTTGTTCCACTTGATCTGATCATGCCCAGACATCGGACGTTCCCAACAGGTGCCATGGGTTCACCTAATTTTCTTCAAAAATATTCGGAAAGAGTTCTGAACGTGGTCCATGCCAGAGTCTTCCTGGACTTGGGCCGCTGGGCTTACGGCTCACTGCTCACTCGTGCCGTTGAGGCGGACAAAGCTGCACATGATCCAGATGAAGTGGCGCGCCAGGCCTCATTGGTGTTCCTCTACGGTTGATTTATGATTTATATAATTATATATATAGCATGATTTAGCATCCTGCTTTCCGACCCTCACCAGCAGCTGCTGCTGCTGAAGCTGGGAGACATTCAGAGGATAATCCTCGGTTCAGCTACACAGGCTTGGCATTATAGAAGTATATCAAATTATATATATATTGAATACTATGTAGTTAAAGGTTAGCATACAATTAAACAAAGGAGGTTATATATATATATGTGTGTGTACAACACCAATATGTTTTCAATTTGGTGTTCACAGTCAGGCTGTTGCCAATCGAACAAGCAATCGCGATATGGCAATGTGTATTGTAAGTGCATTTGCCGGAGTCCTTGGATGAATTGAAAGCCGCACCCGTGTGAATTCCCTTGCCTCGAGTGACGATCATGGTGGGGCGGTGGACGTTGAACCAGCACTTGCTGACTCCTGGCCGCTTTTGAACAAGGAATGCACATCCTTGGAAATGCCCTCCAAACCATAGCATGCAGTGTGCATTCGCAGGAGCAGCACCTGCCCAAGGATGCTATCCCATCACGACGCTCGGCTGGTGTGGGTGCGAATTGGGGGAGTTGAAAGGTGGAGTCCTTCAGTGGGTGATTTGGGAAACTTGCAGGTGCTGGGGGAGGCAGACAAGGGATTTGGCAGAATGCCTGGGACAACCTTGGAACCGGCTTTGTGCTTGACATATCATTGTCAGAATTGTCAGGCATGTGTTCAATTTTCTGGCTTTGGCTGTGGGTTCTTATTGGATCGAACTAAAAGTCTAATCAGTCAAGTCTTATCCTGGCTTGGTGAGAGGCTGAACCTTCAACTCTTGTTGAGGCCGGCCTTCAAACACAAACCTTTTGTATCCTGGGCTGTTTGATGGGAGGGTTTGCTACCATGGCAATCACGTAGGCATTCTATTTTCTAGTCAGGATACTCAGGATTCCCTTTTTGAGTCCACCTGTACCCAGACATCGAAATCAAGAAGGTTGCATTGTTGGCAGGGATCGATGGCCCGTGCTTGACCCGCCTTCAGCACAAAGCTTCTTATGCCCCAGACCCCCCATGAAGAGTGGAAATAACAAACAGTATGAATTAAATAAACAAAGCTGACGATACGGCATCCAATTTGTAGCTTTGCAGAGAGTTAACTTTTAGAATTTAGAATCGATGTTTAGAACTAGTCCGTTTTTGGGCTGGTTCTCCTGCCGCAACCATCCGGAACGTGTAGACACAGCTGCTCCATGGGCAGGAAAGGATTGTCCGGACATCAAATGCGAGCCCTGCCCGGAGTTGGGATTCTCAAGTCGTAGCGACTGAAGAGATGGTTGCTCTTTATATTTCTGCATATATGAATGATTGTATACGTACGTTATTCCTTTTGTGTGTAGGCATTCTCCAGCACATCGAATATGGATCAGATACCACATTATTCATTATTGTTACTAGTGGACATTGCACATATGTTGTTTGCCTGTGGGTCACCATACATCATTCCTGGTACTCCTGTTGCTTCTAAGAGTGAAGGGCGCATGTCCCCTACAAAAGTTGTTTTGACCCAGTGAATCAAAGCAGGATAAAAGTCGCTTGGTTACGGCATCATCATTTTTCTGAAGTTTCTTCGCATGGTGTAATTTGATGCCACAATCCTTTGGCAACCCTTTTTAGACAGACAACGAACGGTGGAAAGACATTGAATCAATCAATCATAAGTCATAAGTTTCGTGGACTTCCCAAATGTCAGGTGTGGCCCAAGTGACTTAAACAAGTGAAAAACTCAAATGAGAGTAGCATCACTGTCAAAGTAATCCTGCAGAGTGTCAGGGGATGTCAGGCACATATCATCGAATCCCTTTTTGAAGGTGATCCGGTTGGGACTAGTCAAGATCAGTTTTGGAAGCATGCACGCGAGAGCTAGGATTCTGTGCAACGAAGTTTGGTTTTTGCTTTGAACAGACTTGACCAGCACGGAAAGCCGGGCTAACAGGTGAATTGAAACAGACCTTCCTGTTCGTTTGAAGCGATGCCAAGACGCCTTTGAAACGTGTGCTTGGGTGAAAGAATCGTGCCTCACCTGCGTGTGATGCAGTGATTGCAGGCCCTGATTCATGGCACCCACTCTTCTGAGGTGCCCTATGTGTCCGGAATGCCCATCCTGCCCGAAGGGCCGGGAGACGCAGCAATCGGGCTGGTCCGAGCCAAAAACGCTTGCGAGCAAAACTTGTCCAAACCACCAACTGGCATACAAGGGGTTGAGAGAGAAAGACAGAGAGACAGAGAGAGAGAGAGAGAGACGGTAGTTGTTTATTTGGATGTTTATACAACTGGCATCTAGGAGGGCCATGGGCCTTGGTATGGATCCCAGGGATTTGTTTCTAGGTCTCCTCGTGAATCTCCACATGCAAGTGCTCAATGTTGACTGGACAAGAGTTTCTGTAAATTCTGTACCAAGATGCAGGCCGCATGCCACATGTCCTGGTTGCATTCCGTTTGTGTAGCTGCTATGCTCACATCCAGGCATGTCCAAACCTTGATGCTAGACTAGATCACGCAACTATGGCGAGACATGGGCCAAAAAGAAGCAGTGCGCAGTGAGGTCTCCTGGTTCATGTCAAGTAAGGTTCTTGACACTTGGCTTTGTGCCTGGTGCCTTGCAAAGAAAGGGACCAACCTAATTAGGTAACACACCAACAATTTGAACCTACATGTGTTCATCACATCTACATATGCCCATCATATGTAATGCTACGTGCTATACAATGCGCGTGGAGTGATCCATTCATGCTTCCTGACACGTTGAGCAAGTGTGACACCCCCGGCAACAAGCCACCCCCGGGCGAGGCTTCAAGCATCCAGACAATAGAGCAGGCTGGCCTTCCCTGCGCACCCACATGCCCAGGTCCAGTCCATCGGTCCATTTGATGGAGGGTGTGCCACTATCAAAGGAGTTTATTAAGTCTATGCAGGTTAGTTGTGCTCAGGTAAGTATAGGAGATGATTGACAATTCTGGTCGGTAGGGTCAGGCCACATCAAGGAAGGTGCCCGTCAGCTTCGTTACAAGCTCCACTCAGCTTTTGCTGTGACGTTAGTTCTCTCTCACACACTCAGCAACTTGCTTTTGGGAGGTGCAAGTCAGCTTCCTCCAGTGAAGCATGGAAAGTGCATTGGCCTAGTGTGTGCAGTTTTGGCATGCCCGGTGGGGCTGAAGCTGAAGCCAGATAGGCACACAAAAATGAGTGCATGTTTTCCTCCACCAGCCTTTGAAATACATCTCAAATTGGCAGTATTTCTTTTCTATTTAAGATGGGTTGAACTTGCAATCTGAGAGAGACTTTCGTCAATGGTTGTTGCGGGAAAACTCAAGTTTCAATAAGGCAAGGAAAGCCTGGCGGTGGAAGAGCTTCACGTGTGAACATAAGGGACCGCCAGTCACTCATATATGTTGTGGATGTTGTGGGTGCATTATCTGCGCAAGAAAGCGGGATGTATAGTAATGTCGGATCTTGATTAGTAAAAGGGACCTCCCCCCTCCCCCTAAACAAATTGGAGGCCCTCTATAATAAACTACCACCAAAACACATCTGGGTTCCTGGATATTCTCAGCAATCCTTTTCCGCAGGCTTAGATCTTCAGCAGATCTTCGGGCCTACCTTGAACAAGTTTCTAGGAGCAATCTTTACATAAAGGCTTGAATATCAAGGAGTTTATGGCTTTGGGAAGCTGCGAGTTTTGAAGAACTAACGACTATGATTATCAATAATACTCTCAGCAAGCCAGCCATTGGCTTAGTAGCATTAAGATTATTTAAGATTTATTTGTATGTTTTCTGATGGAAAACATTGCACAATCGAGAACCCTTAAAACAAACTTGTTATTGAGGATCAGGTGCATTCCTGGTCTACTACCTTGAAAATGTCTTTAGGAGCAATCTTTGCGAAGAACTAGGGAAACCTATACTTGTAGCAATCTCACCAGCCAGCGATTGGCTGGGTAGTATTCACAGGTCTCCGAGGGATTTATAACTTTTTTTAAGACATCAATAATAGAAATGATCTCAAAAAAGTTGGCATAATAGAGAGCCCTTAGAACAAAGATGGTGTCAAGAATTATGTTTGAACAAATTAGCACTATAGACTATAGAGGGCCCTATTACTAATGAGCATCCAACATTAACTACTAAATGATGCGACAGAGTGCATCCAACGACTTCAGGTTGATGACAGCCTTGGTGATGACCTCCAAGTCTTGAAACATGACTTCAGGTTGGAAACTAGACTGCTGTTTTGAAGCATTCCTGGCAATGCTGAGGGTGGTTTGCAACAGCATGGACAGCAACTGCCCCTTTTGCGCTGGGCTGAGATGGTTGGAGCCAGCATAGGTGTAGCAGGCCAGATCTTTGTAGCCACATGTAGCCGCTGTAGCCAATTGATTTCTTGATGTGCGCTTTCAACAGCACCCAACCTAACTGCTGCATCTTGATCGGGTGTGGCAATTTTTCATCTTGAAGAATGACATGAGCCTTTAGGTGCCGTGTCGCTGAAAGAACTGGCGCCCTCGAATTCCCAAATTGCGGATTTTGCGGCTCTGTCCCAGGGGCGGTGTTTTGCACGTTTTGACTCCCAAAGAGTCGTCCCACGAAATCGATGGAAGGATTGACGACCTTTAAAAACTTCATATCTCCTATGAATGCCCCCAGCAGCATACAAATCAGCAGGCTGCCCTGTTTGAGTAGCATACAGTACTGTACGTCTACCAGAGTCTACCACCGAGTATGATGTTTTAACTATGTTTTAACATTGTGAAAATTATTGATATTAATGGTATGAATAGACGTTGGCAGGTTTTCAGATTCACGTTGGTATGCGTGTTTGTGGCACCCCCAGGCCCTGCATGCAGTTGCCCAGAGTGCCTCAATGAATGCCCACCTTGCATCAAGAGGCCAGGTGGGTTCATGCGTAGCAGCAATTGCGCTGGCCCAGGTTCGAGTTGTTAATCCCAGCATGGTGTGACTTGGAAGATCTGCGAAGCAACATGGGACATGCTGGTGAATGTCGATTTAGTGTGTGTGTGTGTCATGAATTTTTCTGGCCGGTCGCTCGGTCGAAGTGCTGTTTCCTCCCAACAACTGTGCAAAGGGTTCCTTTCATGGCGTATCCATGTGTATGTGTATATACATATATATATATATACGCCCTCCGAATGGACCAATGACACCAGCTCTACAGATTTCTGCGGGGACCTTGTTTGCGAGTGCAACCAGCACACTCACCATAACAAGCCTAACCGCGATTGCACAGACGACACCGTGCACTGCACTCACCAGTGCAACCTGCGGCAAGTTACTTCGCTAGCATCATCGGCGCAGCCAGCACCTTGAACTTACGCTCAAAGTGGTTTGCAGGAGTTTGTTGTCCTCGGAAAACATTGGAAAGGAATGTTCGGGACGGATTTTGGAGAGCAAGTGTTCCTTCGTCTATGTTGGATTTGTTCAGCTTCAATGTAGACAGCCAGACTCGACAACTTTTACCAAGGGTTCCTGCAACCACTTTCTTTATTTTGGGTTGAATGCCCAAGTTGCTCAGTCCTTGATTTTGGGATGAGGCCAAGAAAAGCAAGCAAAACATCCGGGGACGCAAAAAGGCATTGTCCGTTCAACTTCCGGTTCCATGCCTGAGCATCTGGAGACTTCTGGCCGATCCGGTTGGACCCTCCTCAGGCCGCCCAACGATCCACCGACCGTTGTCTTGGGAACGGATGGAGAGCCGTAGGGAGGCCCAGTGACAGGGGGAGAGGCTGGTTGTTGCGGGGGGTCGTGGTGATCATATGGTTCTTTTTTCCACGAGTACGGACGCCATGTGGGCGGTGCGCCCAGGTCATCAGTCGTGGTGATCATATGGTAGTTAGTATAGCTGCACTAGCTTAGGCCTGGTTAGTTCTGGCTGTGTTCTTCCCGTGCCGGGGAAGTTTCACTCGGTTTTTATCCAACATTGCCCCACCAATGGAGATGGATGCTCCCTTGTGTTTTTGGATATATTGTGTGTTTGTATGCAGTTGTTGCTTCCTGGGACCAGCAATGTGATCATGAGGCAAGCTGAAGCTACTGGACCAAAGATTGGACTTATACAGACTGGTTCTCTTCACGTTCCTTTGAGGCTGTTGTGTGTTTGAATGCGGTGATTTCATGGCTGGTGCAGCATGTTCAAATTCTCCAAGGGTGAGGCACTTTGTGAACATGAAAGTCCAGATTTCGTGGCTTGTTCTTTGTGTGCGTGTGTGGTCTCATACGTGTGCTCTCATATGCGTGTTCTCATGTTGCGTGTGCTCTCACCTGCGCCCTCACCTGCACATATGTGCCCTGCCCTCATGTGTTTGCTGACATATGTGTGCTCTCATACCCGTATGTATGCTCTCATATGGGCGCTCTCATTTGCAGGCTCTCATATGCTCTCACCTGTGTGCTTTTATGTGTGTGTGTGTGCTCTCACGTTGGTGATCTCATATGTGTATCCAGTGTATTCTCACGTGTGTGTGCTCTCGTCATAAAATTGCTCATGCGTGTTGCTCTCGTATGTGTTGCTCTCGTATTTGTGTTCTCTCATGAATCGAACATCACTTGTGTGTGTGCGCCCGCAGGCGTGTGTTTTCATGGGGTTGAATGTTCTCTCTTCCTCTCTCCCATATGTGTGCTCATGCGTTTGCTCACATATGTGTGCTCTCATATGCAGAAATTGGCTTATTCACACTTCTTTCTTCTACTTGGCACTGTTTGGGGTCTCTCGCCATGATAATTCACGTGTTTATTCCCACACCCACGCCCATTCCAGCAACCTTGCGTCTCCCTCATCACCTTGGGATGGCGGGCCGGCCTTGGCCCAGGCATGCCACAGGCGGCACACCGGTGAACCCTTTGGTGTCCCTTGGCTATATAATTGCATTTTTTGAAAGCCTGACTCACCTGACCCTTTACTGGTATTCGATGTTGTTCTTCCTGGAGTGCTTGCCGGCCAGGGGGCATCTCAATCACAAGCATGTGTTTCTTTCACAGACGGTGCTTGGTGTTATCTTGGCTTATTGAGGTTCAAGTGGCACTGCAAGGCAACCTGGGAAAATTCCATTTGTAGGAGGGAATCTGGCGGGGAAGGTAAAGGTTAGTTGGGACAGGATACTGATAGTCTCCGATTCTCGCGAGGGGGCAGTTGACGGGGAACATATTGAACGCTTGTCAAAGGCCTAGTGCTCTCGGATTCGAATTAACTTTGCTTTTGCAGGCCTAGGACTTTAGAATGTACATTCGGTCATGTCATGTCAAGGCCCCAGGTGTTCAACAACCATCGTCCGCCAGCATTCCAAAGTCAAGCGACCCGCCAAGACCACCCGGCAGATTGAGGCAAAGCATCAACGATGATTTAGCAATGCAAAGCCTGAACGGATAAAAGAGATGTTACTTTTCATTATTCATGACAGTATCGACGAACCGATGTAGTTGCAAGATTTGCTCTCCTGTAAGTTTGTGACTTGTTCGGCTACCTATTGAGTATAGGATAGGCACAAACACTTTTCGGATGAATACTGTTGGCATTCAATCTACAATAAATATATATATATATATACTATGCACTTGTGTGTGTGCGCATTCTCAATCAGGATTTGCTCCAGGGGTCACAGAAATGGCCGTGTTGAAGGAGATATGTTCTTGAAATGTTCACTTGAGAAGCAAGGTGGTGGCTATCAACCACAAAAACACGTGTCTTCCGCTCAAGTCGGCTTTGCAAGAGGTTGATAGAGGAATCTCCTTTGAGCCCTTTCCATCTATGGACTATAACGGTGCACACGCTTTTCAAGTAACTATACTTAGTGGCCAGCCTGCATGACATCACGCAGAATTGGATCACCTTGGCTTAGGCTCAGTTTGCGTATTGTTTGAGAACACGCATCGATAGCTCTTGAAAGAGTATTTCTTTGGTGGGTTGCTTGAATTTGGGTGTTATGCCCATGCTGATGCCACAAAAGACCGTGCTAGTGATTGATTGTTCGGCTAAAGGCTGTTCTTGCAGCTTTACTGGCCATACTTTGTTTGCTTGCATCACATTGCAGGAGTATGCAAGTGAGCAGTGAAGCCCACAACCTTGGAACAAACAAAGATGGATACAACTTCACAGGTCTCAGGTGCCTTTCGCAGCACACTTTGCTCAAAGTTAGACTTGCACGCGGCTGTCGGCTGTTGTTTTCGCCTCTCGCCGGATGCTGGTGGGTTTGCGGGTCGGCTTCACCCAATTCAGAAACTTGTCCACTCATGTGGGTCCCTGTTAACCTTAATGTGTGCACATCGCCGGCAGTCAAGATTGCTTGGGCATTGGAGACCTACATTGCAGGGTACTTACTTGGATTACTTGCGCCGAGTATTGGGATCCATGCTCTAGAGACCCCCGAATAAACAGGCTATCGACAATGACCACGGGAGCATTGAACGGTCACGCGTTTCCTTTCCAAACCAATCCTCATGTCCCCAGCGTTCCCTTGCTTGGGGACCTCCACACAGAACCTTCTATCAAGAGCATGGCCACCATGGAAAGGGGAATTGTGCTGCTATCATGTCATATCATGTCCCTACTTTGACTGCAGAACAGGCACCCGATCCCTATAAACATGTTTGTCAATGCTTTCTTTGGTTTGTTTCGTTGGTCAGAGGGTCCCTATTAGCAAAATTGTTTTGGTTTGTTTGTCCCTTTCTATGAATGTGCCTGGCTGTTTGGGCCATTTCTCTATAACCCTTCCTAGCCTGCTTTCTTCTCTCTAGTTTCTGCCTTGGCTGTTGTTCCTACAGTAGCTGGTTCATGCTGCGCCCTGCATGGTTCCCTCTTAGCTGCCAATCGCTTTTGTTTATTGGAGGGCATGTAGTTAGCGTTCATCGACTCCCATCACAACGATAGAAAATGCACCATCATGCACCTGTTTGGTAGAAATGTGAGCCGAAGGGAGCAACTCCAACGACTGCTGGAGGCTCTTCATTCCAATGGGATTGCAGCCGCTCTCGGAATCAGCCGTGCAGAAAGCCGCTGGGGCCTTGGCAGGATGATATGATGTGTCGCGAAGACTGTGATGACGACGATGATGATTCCATAAAGAATGGGTTGCATTGAAGGCCGTAGCATGTGTGGTCAGGGTCAGCGGGTGGTAATCTATCAGAGGCCTGGATATAAAATCAACTCTGAAGGATGAACGGTGTGGTTTTCAGCGTGTGTTGCTTACAGTAGATCACACATGTCTCAACACATGATGTTTTTATGAAGCCCTACCTGTAGGACCTTGGGGACTCTTTATAGAAACGTTCAGCGCATGAATGTGGGGATGAATTCAATATTGGGTTTATCATGGTTTATCATGGTTTATCAAACAGTTATGACTTGGTGACTTTCCAAAAAACTGACCCAAGCATCCTAGCCGGTCCTAGCACATGACAAGTGAGATCCACAGATTTGGACAGATGCCCGCAAGGCTGAGAAGGGTGGATACATCGACAAGGGAGATTTGCTCCTCCTTTCGATCCAAAGCAAAGCTCAGCAGATCTTGGAATCCTGCTGCTCGGAGCACAGCGGAAATGATAATATCGGTTCAAAACACTCGCATAGGACCATAGGACATTGATGAATTGCAACATGGGGCCCCAGAGCCAACCTTGTGGCACCAAAGAATTGGGATCGAGTAGGGGATCAGTGTTTTTGCGCGTTTTTGCAACGTCTGACATGTGATTCCTTCAGGTTGCAGGGAAGGTCCTCGAGAATTGTCAAGGCTCCCGTGAAGGCAGATTCCCTATAGTACTTACCTTCCTTTCAATACCTTCGCGTAGGATCCGGCCAAGTCATTCATCTTTTGCGACGTTGCCATCGTGGGGTGTTCTTTGGTTCCTGTTGCTAGCATAGCCCGGGATAGACATATTAGAACAGACACAGAGTGCAGCCATTCATTTACAGATATTTGCAGTATATAATTTGGAGGAACTTGACAGACGCAAAAGCCAGCACCGAACACAAGTGCATGAGGCAGGCTGAGTACTGTAACTTTCCGTGTTGCGTGTCTCTTCACTTTGTTTAACTTGTTTCCACGTGCGGATGAGGTAATTACTGAAGAACCGTCCAAATGAACTTTCTATCAAATGTTGTGTCAGTCATTGGTATAGAATAAAATAAAATATACAGTGCATTTCATCATCCAAAATAAATCCCAAATACCAAGGACGCTACTAGGGGCTCCTGGCCGTACTACTAGGAACAAGAAGCTACTAGGGGCTCCTGGCCATACTACTAGGAGCAAGGACGCGACTAGGGGCTCCTGGCATCGCTACCAGGAGCAATGTGCACAGCCGCTGAGGCTCTCATAGCGACAAGTCCACGTCCGGTTCTTCGCCCAGACACGAGGCGTAGCGCCGGAGATCGGGAGAGGCTGCGTGTGAATTGATATGCTTCGGATGAGGCTTCAAAGGTTTTGTTTTGATGGTCCACTGCATGCTGCACATCGACGGTTAATTTAATCATCGACTTGCGGTCGCAGTCGCAGTATTTGCTGATTCATGTCAGGTTCAGTTTGCCGCTTTGTAGCTGTTAAAGTGGTAAGCACAAAAACTGCAAACGAGGACGCATGTTTACAGTTTCAAGTTTCAACTTAGCATGTAATCATCTCATGTGCTTTTAGGCAGCGTCTCCACTTCAAAAAGAATGAAAGGTCCTCAAGACAACATGAAGGATGGTCGAGTGAGAGGAGTGTTTGATCTTGTTTTCACAACCGTCGTCATTTCATGTAGCGCGTGGTAGGCTTACTTTTTGTGTTGGGGAAGACACGCTCAATTGGTCCATACGTGGTGCAAAACAAAGGTGAGCCGCTTTATAATGGTTGGTGTTTTTGTTAGCCGGATGTATATACACCGTTGTTTGGAGCCCCCCATGCAGCCCTGCTATGCCCTGCTGACATACCATGTCGGGTACAACCATCTGATTTTGGCGACTTCCTTTGTAGGATGAAGAGCTGGCCTGGAACCCCTTGGGATTGGAGCCATGGTCGCTTGTTCAAGAACAACGTGATGAAGGTGCGCGGCTGCCATGCATGTTAGTGCTTAAGCCTAAGCTCCAGATTAGGAAGGGTCACCAAGCAGTCATCACACGCTGGCACCAGGAACCCACTTCGCGAAATCATGCGTACTTAAGTTGGATGGTTTGCATCAAACAAAGTTGATCACTGAAATCTAGGTAAAGCACAGAAGCGGTCAAGTTTGATTTGGTGCTCTGACAAAGAAGCGGCAGAGAAGTCAGGCTTCCAGCTACTGCAAGGGCTTGTGAGAGAAAGATGTTCATGGCATGTTTTTATTGGGAGGTCGTTTCTCCCCCATGTTTTCCAGGTGAGAAGCCCGAGCTGCTGTGGAACCCACTTGGGCTGAAAGGAGTCAGCAAAGAGGTCGGCACCTAGGGAGGACCAGGGTGGAGCCGGGTTGCTTCACTATGCTTCAGAAGTTTATAGGGTGAAAAGGTTTGGGGTACCGATGGAGTACCGATATATACCGACATCTCAAGGTTTGGCAAGAACACCTTGGCCTTTGGCACACAGCTGTAGTAGATGCAAGGGTGGGCCCGCTGAGCCGGGTGAGCTGTGTAAAGCAGGGAGGCCAATCGACCATGAAGTCATGACGTCCCAGCTCCCATTGCAAAGGGAGTGACTTTCGCATGCAACTAATCTGGGTGGACTGTTGGTAGAATGGCATCCCTATTAAAATTGCCGCCGCAGAATGGGGTCACACAAGGCTCACATTTAATTTCCTGCCGCCGGGCTTGCAACCTTCCAACAAGATGGCCCATGCTTTCACATCATCGTATCGCTGAAGTTGTCGTGTCAACTGTTTGTGTTCCTGTTAGTCAGAGGGGTCCTTGCCTGTACGCTTGGCCGAGCAGTTTGCCCGGCCAGTGGCAGCAAAATGCTATATAATTCCACAGAATTCCGGTCTAAAGTTCCGCCTGCTTTCTTGGCCAAGTGTGCTTTGACTCACCCATCCAGCCTTAAGAACTTCGGCTGGAGGTTTTCCTTGCATTCCAAGGCCAAGGCTGAGCCCGCATTCTTGTCCAAGCCGCCTGGGCTAGAAGAAGTGGAAGGCAGGGTGGCCGCTGGTAGGGCTGG